TGATGAATGAATGGATGGATGAATGGATGGATGGATGGATAGATGGATGAATGGATGGATGGATGAATAGGTGGATGGATGGATGGATGAATGAATGGATGGATGTACTGATGGATGGATGGATGGATAGATGGATGGATTCATGGATGGATGGATGAATAGATGGATGGATGATGGATGGATGGATGAATGGATGAATAGATGGATGATGGATGGATGTACTGATGGATGGACAGCTGGATGAGTAAACATACATTTGTAATGTTTTATATCTGATGTATTTGTGTGTTTGGTCCTGGTTCCGTCCTCAGGTCTGATGAAGACCTGGACCGGGTCTTACCCCTAACAAGACTCCAGCCGTGTGTGCCAGTCCGATCGCTATGTTCCCGGGCTCCGTGCTGTCCTTGCGCCGCTGCTCCTCCACGGAGAAGATGGTGAAGACCATCTGGAAGGTGCACAGGATCTCCGTGGCCAGGGCCTGGGCCGCGTTCAGGTCCTCGGGCACCTGGTACCGATGAAGAGGAGAAGTTACCGGAGGAACGGTTCTGCTGCTCTCCGTCTCCCAGAACAACCAGCCAAACCCACCCTGGTGACAAACAGGTCCGCGGTGGTCTTCAGGGGCAGGGCCAGGTACAGGACCCCCGTCGCCAGAGAGGCCCCCAAACACTGAACGCCAACGAAGAGGAGCGCCTTGGGAACGTCCTGTCTGCGAGCCACGAGCAGAGAGAGCGTGACGGCCGGGTTCACCTGACGAGGAGGGACCAACCACAGAGAGAGAGAGAAATGACGTCATGGTTTTTGAAATGTGCTTTTGAGAAATATATAAATATATTATTAACTAACCGACGTCATGGCTGAACTAGCATCACAACTAAATGAACAATAATAAATAATTAATGACCATTTGAACCAGAGCATCAAGAAGGTGGTCAGAAAAAAATGAGAGTTAAAAAAATAGTTAGTTTAAACAGGAACAAATAATTACTGGTCTCTCATTAACTAACTAACCAACTAACCAACTAACCAACTAACTAACCAACTAACCAACCAACCAACTAACTAACCAACTAACTAACAACCAACTAACTAACTAACCAACTAACCAACAACTAACTAACAACCAACCAACCAACTAACTAACAACCAACTAACTAACTAACCAACTAACTAACCAACTAACTAACTAACCAGGTACAGTGAGTTAACAGTTCAATCTACTGTTGGTAGATTATACTTCATGTTCTCTGAGCACTGACTTCACATCTTCATCATCATCTTCATCATTGACCTCTCTGACCTCTCTGACTTCATCATCTTCAATTCAATAACTAACTAACTAACTAACTAACTAACTAACTAACTAACTAACTAACTAACTAACTAACTAACTAACTAACTCGGTGTGTGTGTGTGTGTGTTCACCTGAGCTCCGCTGATTTCTCCAAAACAGTGTCCCAGTGCAACGATGACCGCGCCCACGGCCACGGCCGGGTACAGGGGTCCCACGGGGCCCCCTCCAGGCCCGGGCAGCGAGGAGCCCAGCACGGTGCTCACTAACACCAGGGTGCCCAGCAGCTCTGCCAGCATGGCCTGCCAGAACTGCCGACTCCGCAACTTCTCAGGAAAAAGGGAGACAAACAAACGGGTCTATATTTAGTTCCTGTCGGCGTCGGGGGGGAAGAAGACGAGATGATGAAGGATTGAAATGAAAATTAATTTAAATTAATTAAATTAAAGGATGGAGTGACTTCATGTATGACATATTGAATAAATTATTGTATATGAAATAATATTGTACATGGTTATTATTATTATTATATTTGGTTGTACAGTATTATACATGTAGTTGAATTAAAGTTTTATATTTTTTCAGACTGTACGATATTATTAAATATGAAAAATATGAATATATGAAAAAAAATATTTTTTTTATGCGAGACGACCAATAAAACAATTAACTGCAGTTTTTCTCACATAATCCAGACAACATTTTCAGTGAAGCTGATGTTAAATCAATTCACTCCGTATCACAGTCACAGTTAAAAAATATTTTCTTTTTTTTTTTTCTTACTTAAGAAGAATGAATAAATATAAACGTAGGAACATAAATCAGATTCTCACCTCACGCCACGTCATCTCCGACTGTAACAGACTCTCGTTTCTCTGATCTGTTCCTCCGTCCGTCTGTCGTTCACGTCAGGGTCTGAGGGTCTGAGGACTCTCGGCTGTGTCCCTCATTGACCTGTAGAATCTGAGAGATGGTTTGATGAATGCAACCTCCCCCCTCCCTCCTCCCTCCCCCCCCTCTGTCCCTCCTTCAGTCGTCTCTCTGCTCTCACCCGCTCCTTATCAGACTGATTTCACTTCCTTTGACTCTCTATCAAACTGAAACGTAAGGAAAGGTGATAAACATTTTAGTTTATTAGCATTTGTCTGTTAGCATTGGTCCATTCTTCTGATAAAAAGACACTTTTTTATTTTATAATTTGAAAAAATTTCTTCACCTCTTAAAAAACAGTTGTTATATATAAGAAATTTGACACTTGGTCGTAATCAATGTTTTTCTTTGACAGAAAATAATGTGAGTCAATAAACAGAAGTCACTGAGTGTAGAATTAAATATTAAAATTATGTTATCAAAAAACAATTAAAAATATAAATGATTAATTCAGGTTAATGGTTCATGAAGTCGGTTTTATATTAACACTTTTGACCAATCAGATCACAGGACATTATGAGAATAACAGGGGAAAATTTGACCAATTAGCTTGGATTTTGAAGTATGAATTCAACTGTGGTTTTCAGCCCAGTAGGGGGCGGAGCCAACTCTCCCTGTGACCTGAAAACATCAGGTCACAGCAGCCGAGGTGTGAAGCTGCGAACGACAGGGTTTTAAAAAAAAACAAAAAAAAAACATCTTTGATGTTGCTGAAAATTAACTTCCATAAATTTACTTCAAAACCTCCAAAAAAGGAGTTGTGGTCTGGATGAATTCACTCACTTAAAACTGTTGAACAGAACTGTACTGTTTTTAAATAACTTTAGAAAGAAAATACAAAACAAAAAAACCCCAGACCACGAACAACAACCAGAGAAAACGATGTGATCAAAGAGCTGGAGTCTAATTTGCCCCCAACCTCCGCAAACTACCACTGAAGGACCGCTCTGGTCGCCATGGGGACCAACTCTTTGATCAGGCTGTTGCCATGGCGCAGCATCTGTGCACACGTTCATTTTCACCATCGACTGATCTCAGACCTGAGAGAGCGAGAGAGAGAGAGAGAGAGGGAGAGAGAGAGAGAGCGAGAGAGCGGGGTTTCACCGACAGGAAGACGGCGTTCTCATCAGAATAAAGGGTTCTAAACACGAGGCACCAAAATCTTCATAAACACCAACGACTGTGTTCGGCTAAGACAGCTAACGG